AGATAAAATGAAAAACAAAATGATTTCCGTAATCTTTGTGATCTTTTACTTCGTTTAACTCAATTTTAAAATAATTTTCGATTAAATCAAGATATATATTTGTACTTGAGTTTCTATTTTGGAAACATCTACATGTCAACTGTGTCAGTTCGTGCATTGAATATTTTTTATCATCAAAACAGTTTAGTAAAAAATAATTGATACAGCAATTGCTTCATCTATTAAATATTCTTCGTTTATTTCCATTTGATTTGAGATTTGGATTATTAAATGTTTACTGATGTTTTGACCTTCGCAATGAGATAAACAGTTTAACATTTTAAATGCAAAAGGTTTACTTTTTTCTAATTTTATTAAAACTAAGTTAATTGCTTTTATTGCAGACTTTGATTCTTCTTCGGTTGGTAGGTTATTATTGTCTAATATTACCAATGGTTTTGATCTATACCGATTTACGTAGTTTTCTATCGAAATTTTATGTATATTTATATATTTTATTGCCTGAGTTACAGCAAACGGATGATAACCAAGTTCTTTTATTAAATTTCTTATGTTTCCATTGTTGATTTCTTTAATACTGTTTTTTACATAAGCGAATGCTTCTTCAAAGGAAAAAACATCAACTAGCATTTTATTTACATTATTCGACCACGTTTTCCATTGCGATGTAATCAAAGTAAATGAATTCGGTTTTCTTGAAATGTACATTGATAAGTTTTTAACACTTTCATCATCGACATTATCAAAAACATACAAAGTCTTTTCATTCTTATAATAGCTGTGAATTTTTTCAACAATCACTTCTATATTTAAATATTCACCTTTAGAATCGTAAACTTTGAATCCTAATATTTGACATTGGTTTCTCATTGAAGTTTGTAACATTCCAAATGCTGAGTTTATCCAAACAATGTTTTTATAGAAGCTATAATAAGTTTTACAAAAATTTCTGGCAATATGTGTCTTTCCGACACCCGACATTCCATATAACACTAATGTTGACTTGTTCGCATTTTTTAAAAAATAATGTTGAATTTCACGTAGAAGTAATTCACGTGAAAATAAACTTTTCGAAAAAGATTGAACACCTAAAAAAAACGCACGGTTAGTTAAAATAGAAAAACTTATTGTCTCAATTAACAAAAAATTAAATTGTTTATTTAGTAAAAAGTTGAAATTTTAAAAACTTATTATTTTTCATTTTTTAAAACGTTATTATGAGCGTATTTTAAAGTATATTACTAGTAGTGGATTTTATTAAGATTATTATGAAATTATAGTAGTTTTAAAAAAAGTTTGAAGCAAGTTTTATGGTATATTACAATAATTTTATAAATTTAATAAATGTTTTATTAAAAAAACTTAATGTAATTTGTAAAAATTATTTACTTAATAATAAATTTATGTTGTTTTAAATAAAGTAAAGGAAAAGCAACAAAAGTAATTTAGATTTTAATTATCAGGTTTAAAAAGGATTAGCTTACTTTGGTTATGAATTAAACTCTAAAGGTTTTTGTCAAGATTGCTATAAAAGCTCAGCTAGAATAATTAAAAATGATTTCTTGATTTACCTTTAGACAACTACTTATGATCATTCGGAAAATGAAGTGCAGATAACTGATGCATTAGAAAATACTCTCCATTGTTTAAACATTAAAAATAGGTTGTTATTTTAAAGCCATTTTTTAGTTTTTCGTATTTTTCACATCAAAACTTAAACAACCTGATTTAAACCTCATTTGAACGTTGATAAACATCCAAATATTGTCGTTAATTATACGACTAGAAATACATGTGTTCTTTGCATTAAATTTATAATTGTAATTATAATTGTAATAATCCTTAGACGTTGTTTTAACATATTTTGAACATTTTTTTGTTGTTATTATTACACAAGACCAACATAATTGTTATGATATATAAAATTTAAATGTTAGGCAGACTTTGTTTGTAGGGGTGGATTAAGAGTAAAACAAGTGTAGCAATTGCTACAGTCAACCCATTTCAATATATATATATATATATATATATACATATATATATATATATATATATATATATATATATATATGTATATATATATATATATTTTATATATTTTTTATTCAAAATAGTAGAACAATAAAAATAAAAAGTTAGTTTTAGTCTAGCCGGGGTGTTCTAAAATTGAAGCTAATCTATGTTTATTATAATACGGGATTATTTGAGTTGAAAAAAAAGACTTTTCTTATAAAGTAAAATGCTTTATTTAAAAACTCATGTTTTTATTGGATTTTTGCTTATTAGCTCCCAAATTTTTGTTAGCAGCCGTGGCGCAGTGGTTAGAGTTCTGGCTAAAAACCCAGAGGTCCGAGGTTCAACACCGGTTCTAGCTCAATAAGCGATATTGGTAAGGAAGGAGGCGTGAACCTCTAGTTAAATGCTCTCCCTCGGTGCTCCGTGATAAGATCGTTTAGACATCTGGGAGCACCTAAATAATAATTTAAAAAAATTTAAAAGCAAATGACCTTATGTAGTATTTTTAAAAACTCAAAAATCTACCTGGAATTTTTTTACCAACATTTAGAAAATGAGATATAATTTTTTTATTAGCATTGAACTTTCAAGTTAGGACAAAGTGCTATTATGCGAGTGCCTGTAGCAGTTAAAAAATGATCAGAGAAACTTTATCTGATAATATTAATACTGTAATTTAGTTAATAATAGTAGTCGACTTACGTCATTTTAAAATAGTTTCTAGGCTTTTCTATACGCAGTTCTTCTATTCCACGGGTCTACAAGAAAGGTCTGCAAGCAAATTTGAGCAGATTAGAGTTGATATATTTTTTTATTATTAGCGAAAAATTGATGTTGTTTACATATTTTAAGATTATCAATTATATCAATGTTTTATTTGTTCTTTTTTTTTTTTTTTTTTTTTTTCAGTAGAAGTTTTTAAAAAATAAAAAATGACTGGTAAAGTAGTTTTTTTAGTTCATTATTTTTTTTAGTACATTATATTCTTTTTAGAACAACTATTATTTTATTTTTCTGAACAGTTCGGTACATTGGAAGACATATTTAGTAAGTTTAATTCATTTTATTATTTATAGATTATTTTTTGCTTGGAGATGCATTGATGAGAATAAAATTTTTTAGACAGGCAATCTAACAGTGAAATAAGTATGTTGTATTATTTATTAACTATTTTATCAGATTAGTTTAAAGTAGGAATACCATTTTGTCTAATAGCTATTGTTTTACATTATTATTTTCTAACTTTAATAACAATTACGTTATTAAATTAACAAATACGTTTTTTTATTAAAGACTATTTTTGTTTTGATTTTAATGCCTAATATTTCAAGGTCTAAGGCAATTGGTAAGCAAAAAGGTATCATATGTTTTTATTTCCCCAAAGCTTGATTGGCTGTTATAGTTAAGGATGCTACTCTTATTGTTGTTGCAACCATTTTTCTCAACTTAAAATTAATATTTTTGAACACAAACATTGTAAAACAAGGCCGCTGCACAGTGAAGTATTTGACTGAAAAAGTCTATCAAATTTCTTTGAAATTAACGCAAGAGCAAAAAAATCTTTAAAGTTTCCGCGAAAAAGTTTTTTGTAAATAGAGTGAAATTTTTTTAAAATATATATTTAACAAGTATATTTGTAATTAAAAAAAGCATATTTATAAATATAATAATATCTATAGTTCATTAAAAGGAAACATTGAAAAAAAAAGATTAATTAAAATAAAATCTTCTAAAACAGTTTCAATCAAGTTACCGGAAAAAAATAATTGTTTTATAAGTACACTCCTTGCGTACAGTCCTTAAAAGTATATTTATGGCACTTAATGGCAGTTGGTTTAAGTGTGTTACAGGGTTATTCATTCTTATATGCGCGTCTATTCATTTTTATATGCGCCTTAATTCATTCTTATATGCGCATTTATTCATTTTTATATGGGCCTTTATTCATTCTTATATGCGCATTTATTCATTCGAATGGTATTTTTACATTCGACGATGGTTTATTTAATTTAGTATTAGTTCTTTGTAGTTTTATTATTAAATTTCTTGATTGATTAAGTTATTATTTATCTAATTATTCGTTTATCTAGATTTTAATTTAATATTTAAAATTATTATTAATATCAAATTATACATCCCTATGGATGGAATAGAAAATAGCAGTACCAATCGTAAAACAAGGGAAAATGTTACAAAAGAGCACATTGAAAATGCTTGAGCATTTAATTGAAAGAAATCAATCTACAATAAGCATTTCCAGTTCTCTTAATTTATCGAAGCGCGCAGTTCAAAATTTTGTCGTTAAGTTAAACAGGATAATTCGACGACATGACTGCATTCAAGTCGTTTTCTGATAAAAAACGAGGTAAAAGACCTATAAACTCTCAAATAAAAAATATTATAGAGTTATGCGTACAAGAAAACAATCTTTGCACGCAAGAAGCAATAAAAAAATATCAATCTGCAGCAGGCTTCAACATGTCTCAGTCTACTATTTCAAGAAAACTCAAACGCTCAGATTTATCAAGAAAACGTGTTGTGCATGTGCCGAAGTACGAAATTCAACACCAGTTATTAATGCACGCTATGCATTTGCAAGCGAAATAAACGGAATTTCAGGTGAAAAACTTATTTATTTAGATAAAACTGGATTTAATGTGCACACTAACAGGACATATGGTTCTTTGCTAAGAGGTACGCCAGCAATTTTACAGTCCCCTGCAAATCGTGGTAGTTTAATTTGTGATACCACGTGGTAGTTTAATTTGTGAACCACGGGAGTGCTTGCTTATAAAATAAAAACTGGAGGCTGGAATGCAGATTCATTTTGTACTTTTATAGCTACATTGATGGCACCAGCGATTAGGAATGCAAAAGTTGAGGCGCCGGTGCTTGTTATGGACAATTGTATATTCCACTGGAGTCTTTTTATTAGGCAAACACTAGCCTCTCATGGTATAGCTATTAAGTATTATATTACATGGTATAGCTATTAAGTATTACAGCTATTACGTATTGATATTAATAATAATTATAAATAAATAAATTTAAATCTAGATAAATGAATAATTAGATAAATAAAACTTAATCAATCTAACAATTTAATAATAAAATTACAAAGAACTAATACTAAATTAAATAAACCATCGTCGAATGTAAAAAGTCTTAGGTTTAAGTATTTTTAACCTCGTTTACCTAGAAATAAGAAAAATTTATTTTGAAAAAATAAACTGTTTTTTTAAAACAAATTGCTTAAATGATTTTTTTTTTGTTCAAATTGCTTTTTTACAATTGCTTTTGTAAAACGCATATAAGAATGAATAAAGACGCATATAAAAATGAAAAAATGCGCATATAAGAATGAATAAATGCGCATATAAGAATGAATAAAGGCGCATATAAGAATGAATAAATGCGCATATAAGAATGAATAAAGGCGCATATAAAAATGAATAGACGCGCATATAAGAATTAATAAAGGCGCATATGAAAATGAATAGACGCGCATATAAGAATGAATAACCCTGTAAGAATATAGATTAAGTCATCGAATGTTGAAAAAATCAGCTTGCAGAACGGTGGAGAAATTTAAAAAAATCAAAACATTATCACCATTTTTAAACACTTCATTTACGTCAGCTTTTGTCGGAAGATCATCTTTTCTCGATCCTTTCACATCACTTCACAAGAAACTCTACAATAAACAAAAACATGCATGTAGAATAGTATTTGGAGCCGACAGAAATGTTCCTAGCGAACCACTTCTAAGTGTGCTCGGTGCTTTAAATGTATATAAACTCAATTTACACCAAGTTTTATTGTTTATGTTTAAAACAAAAAAGGAATTGTCTCCTAAAATATTTCAATCTTATTTTAATAAAAATAACCATAGGTACTCAACAAAGTTTTCAGAAAACAATTTTGTTGTTCCAAAACATAAATTAAAATTAACTTCCTATTCAATTAAATACCGCGGACCTTATCTGTGGAAGAAATTTCCAGATATTGTTAACAAAAAGCAGACTACATTAGAGCAATTTAAGGATGAATCAAAACGATTATTATTGTTCATGGATCTCAATAAATCCGACTTTAAATGTTTATTTTAAAGTAAACAAAATAAAAAAAAAAAAAAAAAAAACAGATTCAATTATATCAATGATATATGATAATATGAATAAGAAAAGAAAGAAAAAGGAAAAAAAAAAAAAAAAAAAAAGAATAAGAAATCCAAGTGATGATGTCACAAGTGATGATGTCATAAGTGATGATGTTACATATTCATATAGTGTTAATTATGAGATTTTATTTTTTCAATTTCTTTTATATTCAGGAATTTTTTTTTTTTTTTTTTTTTTATATTAACTTATTTCTTAAACATTTTAGCAACTGTTAAGCATCTTAACGCTTCTTAATTAATTCTTATTTTTTATTTTTTTTATTATATTAGTTATTTTCTATTTCATTTCTAATTGTTTCTTTTATATATATATTTGTATGTTACGGTTATGTAGAATTTTTAATGGGGCTCGGCGATAAGGCGAAATGTGCCTTCTTCTTGCTCCAGCCATCAATTTATATAAATGTATATGCAATGTAAACATTTTTTAACGGCAAAATAAATTACACTAAAAAAAAAAAAAAAAAAAAAAAAAAAAAACTTGGATACCTATATATTTTCTCCATCAGGCTTGCATTGTTTTTGTTAGCTGAGACGTTGTACCAATACACTGCTTCCAGTATTGACATTTTTGACCTTTCTGCAATTCTCTTAATTCTACGAGGATTTCTTTCCACAATTCCATTTCCTTCGCAACAATAAGCAGGTCGAAACCTAATGCGCACTCTCCAACCATCAAGAAAAATTCTTTACTCCTCAGTTTTAAAAGTTGCTTCGTTATCTGTCATAACTTCAGATAGCGCTCCTCGCTCGCAAAAAATAAGGCGGAGTATTCGAGTAATGGAAATACTTCCGTATGAACATGAAAGTTGTCGCCACAGTGCTTATCTTGAAGGTCCGCAATCAATCAGAGTTTAAATTTTTCTGTGCCAAAATGCGTGATATCTATGCCCACTCTTTCGCAACCTCATCACATCTTCCTCAAACTCTAGTCAATGCGTCAGCTAAGTTGTCTTTTGAAGGAACAAGTTTTGCTATCATATTAATACCATGTTCTTCAATACATTGCTGCAGAACGCTTAATCTTCTTCGAATCAACATTTCGCCCCTTTGCTTTTGATTTCATTCTTGACTTTGCAGTGAGAGCGTCAGAGACCCAGTGGAACACTGTCACGGAATCTGCGAAGATTACTTTCTTTCATTTCCAAGTCAAAGCCACACTCATCGTCCCAACCTTTCGTCAAACTAACCACTCTTCTATTCAAAAGACAATAAACTGCACGTAACCAACCACTTACTGGTAAATGACCTACCAACTGCCCACAAACGGAAAACACTATTCTTCTACTTAACTTTTTTGGCATTGCGTTGACTTGATTCTCCCTGGACCAGGTCAACTTGCTACCAACCTTGTACAGACATAATCCCAAAATACTCGACACACACATCTGCATCTCTTGAATACGTTTCAATAAAACTGTTAGCTTCTCACCAGTCCAAAACGGGTCTGACTTTATTATCTTTATTTCGTTGGTTAACAGCTATTAAGGGAATTTGCCCTTTGGGTAGTCCCATCTTATTTTCGTCATATTCAATTAACCATTTACGATTGATCCATTCTTGTAGTTCGTTTTCAAATTCTGTTCTTGGATATTTTGGTATGCTGTCTTAGGCAACTTTGTTAACCAACTGGTTGAGGCTTTCTCTATATCTCCATTTCCATTTAACTTCCCATTCGACACAACTAAATATTGCTTCATGATCTTGCTTTTTAATTTTAATTTTATTGACATTATCTTTCTTTAAGACTGCTATTCCACACAAACTGAACCCAAACTTTGCTATTCCAGACGGGGAAATAAAAACTCCTCCTAGCAGTTTAATGGAACTCATTCCCAGCATCATATCAACTCCAAACGTTTGAAAATTCACTAAAATAACTTCGCCTTGTATTTGAATACCATTACATTGATAAAATCCAAACTCTATCTTTTTGGAATCTATTGGGAGTTTCGATATTTTTGAAAGGTTGTTGAAATCTATAGAAGTGGTTTTGCATAAATAGCAACGCATGGTGGATGACATATTTGCTGCTGCATTGCACACTTTGCCATCTACCATGGTTAACAACAACTTATGACAGACTGTTATTTATATTCGGATCCGGGTCATTCATGAATGACCCGGATCTGAATAGGTCGGCAAAAACTTGGAGACGAGTGTAATGAGTTATTCCAAATTATTTTATTGTTACTCAGGCAAATCAGCTGCAGGATTGAAAAAGATTGCAGTACTAGCAATGATTGAAAAATGTCTGCATTGGAGTAACTATTGTTAATAAATTTTTGTTTGAATTGAGATTGTTGTGAACCATCACATCCCCATTTAAAAATAAGTTCCAAAGTTGTTAAATCTTCTGTTTTTAATGTTGCTAGCCTTTCTTCAAGATAGAAAATAAGATGCTGAGCTGTATGGTCTAGTAAACCTTGTAATTTAATTTCCGCACAAGTTTGTGTGATATAGTAAGCATCAGTGTGTGGATAGCATTGTTGTTTTGCTTTTTTAACAACAAAGTAACAAGGAATGATTTTCATCAACATTTTTTTTCTCACGAAGTCCCATCATAAACCAGTGTTTCTGCATTAGCATAAACCAGTGTTTCTGTTGACCAGCATAAACCAGTGTTTAAGCATCATTATTACTTCTTAGTTGCGCTGTTTTACGACGTTTACTACAATCACTCAACTAAGAAAATTCTTTAATTGGGCGACCAAACGCACGTGTATCTTCGGCAGGAATAGCGGCATTGTTTGGTATATCAAGCGTGCCTTGTAACCAGTTATGATATAAAAAAAAAAAAAAATAATGTTTTGATTCTTTTTGCCATTTGCCATTTCTTCTTCATTTTTGACATAAGAACAGAATATGTTTAAATAAAATCAGTTTTTTGCTCAATCGGAAATTTAAAAAAATTGGAATATTGCCAAAGTCAGCTTCTTAAATCTCACTAACCATTGGTAAGATAAAATAACTACTTTGTTACTGTTGATAAACTTTAAAATCAAAAAAAAAAAAAAAAACTTGTGCCAGAAGACATCTTGCCCCAGTGGTGGGGCAAGATGCTCTATGGATTTAAAGAAAGAAAACTTTTCACGCGTTTTTCCCCAAATCATTAAAACAGTTGTTAAAAATAACTTAAAGTTCTTAAAAATAAAATCCTTTATTAGTTTTTTTTATTTACTCTTTACATTTTATTAAAACAACTGAAATATTAACACTGCAAATAAATACTATGCAATTATTCTATACAATTGTCTTGAAGATAAATAACTTCTTTTTTAATTATTAGCAATAAATAACTAAAATAAATGTTCTAATAACGATGTATATACATGACTATGATTCACAGTAGTAGCATAAGTCTGAATCATCTGGTACCAAGATGTACATTTAGTACAATGTGTCCAATCATCAAATGGGGGCACATTATAAGCACAAGAGCATATGATGCATAAAGTAGTATCAGTAATAAAACATTGAGAAGCTTTCTGCTTTTTAGACTTTTTTGGTTTTTTGTCCTCAAATTTATTGATTTCTTTTTTTGCTTGATTACCTTATTAAGTGCAGCTTTTTCTTTACGCAATATTGCTTCTTGTTGCTTTTCTTTTAGATTGTTTTCATGTTCTTCTAATCTCTTCTTGAAAGGCAAAGAATTAAGATTTTCAGCTGATTCTGTCTTTCTTTTACGCTGTCTTAATACAGTAATTTTAGGACGCGGGGAAATCTTTTCCAAAATATTAGGGGCGGATTTAAGGCCAAGATGCTCATCAACAACTGGCAAAACTGCATCATTTGATTGTGCTGGTTCTTTCGTAACAGTCTTCATTTTTGTGGCAACAGTTGCTGTGCTTATAATATCTGGCAACTGTATATGTGCAACAAGAGGTATACTAGGCAAATCACTTGATTGCTGACAGCTTTCCAATAGTATAGCTTTATCAATGAGCAAAGCTGCATCAAAGGCTTCATCGTTAAAAATAAGCTCATTTATTGGGTATAAACCAGAGCATCTAAATTCATTGATTGCTTTGTCAATGTTTGCAGTAAAGTTATAGGCAGTTGTAAAAATACCTGCCATGTTAAAAAATGAAATTCTACGTCCCTGATGCGATAACATCCAGTTGCTTGCTGCAGTATTGTAACCAACTTTCAATGGTTTGAAAAATGTACGGTCTAAAGGTTGCATTTTGTGTGTACAATGAGGTGGAAGAGTTATGAGGTGAATCCCATTGTTGCGACAAAAGTTAATGGCTTCAAGTGTTTTGTGACTATGATGACCATCGAGTACAATTAATTGCTCGTTAGTTTTAGATGGATGAGTCACAGTAACAAAATGTGTTAACCATTCTATGAATAAAGATGAATCTGTCCATCCACTGGAGCTAACTCTAACAACTGACCCTGAAGGTGCACCAAAAGCCAGCCTATCAGTTATTCGCTTACGGGGGAATATATATAATGGTGGGACATAAACAGCACTTGCATTAATTGCACACACGACAGTCACAGTAGCACCTTTTTTTCCACTAGTTATTTTTGAAACTTGTCGTTTTCCCTTTGTTGCATTTATTTTTCCTGACTTATGGACATTTGTTATCCCAGTTTCATCCATATTCCAGAGCTGTTTGGTTGAAAACTTATGTTCCTCAAATAATGACTTGTATACTGAAAAAAACTGATTTAACTTTGGTTTATTGAAGCCAACAGCTCTGCTTACACTGGTGGCTTGTGGAGTTCGAATAGAAAGTTGTGGGTTGGGAGACATAAATCCTTGCAGCCAATCCTTTTCTGTCATTTTTGATTCATTATTAAAAGGATTTTCAATTCCCATTTCTTTAGCAAAATCATATGCTAGGCGACGTATATCTATTGTTGTCAAGCCAAATAATGCTCTTTCCATAATCTGAATTTGTGTTACAATGTTTAATTCAAAATCTTTACTAAATACAGGAGATTTTCCACCCAGAGATAAACCACCAACTACCTTTACTTTTCCATCTCGATGACATTGTAATGTTTTTTTGTTAATACTAAATTCTGATGCAACATTTTTCAGACTGCAGCCCATCTCCATAGCTTCTAACGCTGACTTTATCCTATCATTTGTTGCACCTCTCTGTGTTTTTTGCACATAATTTCTCGCCATTATTTAAATTGTTTAAATATGTTTGCATATTTATATTAAATATTTATTACTAAATAAATATTTTAAAATTAAATTATATAAACATATAAAGACATGCAAAGTATTATATAATTATTTTATATTCTACTGTTTCAAACATTACCTTACATTCATAAATTAACTATTTTAGTTAAATAAGAACTTACTTAAGTTATATGCATAAAATTTTTTAATTTATTATTGTTATTATTATCATTTACATTCAATTGCTGATCATTAATTTAATATAATACAACTTTATTTCCCCAAATGCAATGCAAATTTTAAAAATGTATTTATAATACATTTATATATACATTTATAAATAATTTATAAATGTTTTACAAGTATGGATTGAATTGCAGTAACTGCATGTAATACAACTTCACACTTCACTTTATTTAGCATACATATTATAACATTTTAAAAACATATAAAATTATTTTAAAAAATTATTTATATATATGTTTAATAGTTATCAACACATAAACCAACATGTAAACAAAGTCAATAACTAAATTAGTAAACGTTATTATGTTCTAAACACACTTTTAAAATTGTAGAAATTCCGTAAAACCACGAGACTAGAAGCCCTCCGTGGGCATCTTACCCGACGTAAACGAGGACATCTTGCCTCATATGTGGTGAGTGCAAGTTTAATACAAATAAAACTAATTTTGTTGCTTAATTAAAAACTTTTTTTTCTACATATTATTTTAGAACAAATTCTTTATAAAAAAAACTATTTTCTTACCTTCATCGCATAAGTATTGCCAGTCCAATAAACATTTGAAGTTATAAGCAACTTACTAACAAAATACTCAAAAAAGTTAAAAATCTATTTAAACCTTAACTAATAACGATATTTAAACTATTTTTTGTTCCGAGATATTGTTTTAACTATATTAATATTATAATAGAGGAATAAAACATTACTAATCTATGATACCCTCACAAAAGCAAAAAGACTTCTTGCCCCACGGGTCATCTTGCCCCACCCTACCCTATATATATATTTATTTCAAAATTAGAATATAAATATATTTATACATACCTTGTTCAACAATATTCATTGCATAAAATTTCAGCCACTCACGAAAACCAATTGCAAACCAAAAGTATTTCATTAAAGTTACAACA